GAGGCATTCGTTGAGAATATAGATTAACAATTTTTTTTAATAGGCATGTCTTGCCTAAGAAATACAATTACATAACAAAATAATTTTACTGTATTTTTGATTGCTGTAAGAGAATTTAAAGGTTCTTCTATCAGAGTCAAATTATTTTAGACCTGTTTCTCCATTCTATTTAATAATATCTTAAGAACATCTTTTAGTATTCAAATATCTTCCAATATATATATATAAATATTATACCAACGTATAATATTTGTTGTTAAAAGATACATTTCAACCATGGCATCTTTGTTTATCCTTAAGCACATTTTTTACAATATTAAAATCTTTAAACTGAGCTAGTAGGTAGTGTAGTGTGCAGAGTTGTTAAAAGATCGACGATCCTGGATTAGATTGCAAATTTGTCAATTTTACTAGATTTTTGATTCTGACTTAAATTGAGGATCGAGATCATTTTGTTTAAAATTCGATCCCGATCTTTTTAAAAATTAATTTTTTACTTAAAAAGCAATAAATAAAATAAAAATTTTGAAAATTAAATTAAAATATAATTTTAAAAAAAATATCTATCTTCATATTTTATCAACTTCCATTCCACCATTTATTTTATAGATATATTTATTCATTTCCTAAATTTTACGAGATTTAGAACTCTTACAAGTTATTTAATATAAATTTATAATAATATATTAATATTTATTTTAATAGGTAAATGTAAATGTCCATTATAGATTTAGAAGATTCGATTGCTTCTACTATTGATGTAACAGCAGATATAAGTGAGAATGAGAATCTTTTACCATTTTTGAAATTACATAAGTATTTTACTTTATGTGAAATGGATGAAAGCAACTCTTATAATATGATCAGCACCAAATGCTGTCTCTGTAAGAAGATAATATCATCTTCCAAAATATCATCCTCGAACTTAAAGAGACATTTACAAATAATTCTTTTAAATTTTTTTTTTGATAATCTTAATGTCAACATGTTTAAATTTAATTTATTACATTCCTGAGTTGAGCAGGTCCTACAGAAATAGAATCTAGATACAGATTCTTTATAAAAAAATATTTTTTTATGCAATTATTTTATATTATCAGATATCTGCAAAATATATTAAAAAATTGCAAAGATCTGGCAAATTTAGTAAAATATTTTTAACAGGCCAGTTCTACTAAACCTCTGATATCTAGTAAAATATTAATGGGCCTTTGAAGACATTAAAAATTTATTAGATTATTTGAATTTTAAGCTAATATTTTGATTAATATTCGTAAATAAATTACAATGTTAATTTCTTTGTATATTAAGTATTAAGTTTACATTATGATATGACCCAAATATAAATAAATACCATACAGATGATGTGCCAGACTTTGTAAAATTTAAAAGGGTTAAGTTGTGCAGATACTTGATTTGGTTTATATGAATAAAATGAATACTTATTTAATAATAAATTAATTATCATTTCATAATATAGATTTCCTTCACTGTATGAAGACAGTAACATTTTGGCAGCCATGATTCACCCTAAATTTAAACTTAATTGGCCTTATATTAATCTGCCACAAAATATGATGGTAAAAATTAGTTGCCCATTTGGAAAATATGCAGTAACAACCATATGCGGATACCTCAAATGAATGTATAGATGACATTGATCCTTTTTTTGGGAAAAATACTGTACAAAATGCTTGTTCCGTAAAAAAAAATTTATTCAAATGATGATTCCATGAATATTTTTAATACTTATATTAATTTAAAAAAAATATTTATTGAATATAATACACCTTTGCCAGGAGCGCTTGTTTAGTAAAGCTAAACATGTTCTAAGTGGACGCGGATGTTTAAATGATGATAATTTTGAAAAAATTTTATTATTAAAAGCTAATTTTAATTATAAATAAATATATTATAACTGTTATATTTATTATTCAATTACAATAAATTTCTACCATATTTAATTTATTTTTATATTAGTTAATTTTGCATCGGTTATATTATATTATTATTCAATTGCAATAAATTTATAACATATATTAGTTAATTTTGCATCGGTTAGAAATTTCCTTCAGAAATTTAAATAGAAAAAAAGGTCGATCCTGGATTTCGATCCTCTTTTTTTGAAAAGATCGTGATCGGGATTCAATCGTTTTAAAAAGATCGGTTAACAAGCCTGGTAGTGTGTTATACTTAGAGTAGAGGCCTGCACCGGCTGTCCGAACTCTCTGGTTCAGACATTGTAGAATTTTTATTCGAGCTCAGGTCGGGTTGTAGTGTCCGACCCGAAGCCCGGCCTTATAAATAATTATTTAAAAAGGGGACTTGTTTGCCTAACAAACTGGGCTCTATTTATATATCAGAAATATTCACTATGTTATTCTATTGATAATGATATTGATATGACTTTTTAATTTCATTATTATATTTTTTTGAAATTAGTTATCTATAATATTTTAATATAATTACAATGATTTTTAAATTCGATTGTATTTTTACGTTATCATGTAAAATATTTTAATATAGTTACAATGATTTTTAAATTCGATTGTATTTTAACGTTACTTTTTATATTTAAACGGAATAAAATTTATATGTATACAAATTAAATAAAATACAACTTTATATGAATATTGTATAGTTTAAGGTGGTTACATATTTATATTTATATTTTAATTTTTAATTGTTTATTAGATATTATAATATTTAAATTCAAATTATAAATTTTTTTTAGCCTGACGCGAGTTAAGGTTGGGTTGGGCCTAAAAATCTCGGGCTTGGACAAATTTTTTTAAATTAGAAAACCAAAACCTTTATATTAGGATAATCAAATATAATAGAATTACGACACTTATAAAATAATTATTCAAAGTTTGATGGATGTCAAATTTATTATCCATATCCTCCTGGGAGTGTTTAAAATTTAACAACACTTACGCTTAGGGCATAATTTATTTTAAGTTTTTTTATCATAATCTTTCATCTACTACAGATATAATCAGACGTTGATTCCTCCCCAAAGTTTCTTCCTCAATAACTTTCAAAACTCTTATATTTTGAGCCGAGTTAAAGATTAATGGTATTAGAAAGAAAATCTAAAAAATTTAAATGTAGTATATTTAGGTTTATCTCGGCTATTAGCAGCTAATTTTCTAGATATTTTGAATAAACGTAAGATGTTTTTTATATTAATTATTAAATCTATAAATATGTAATTTAACTTAAATATTATTTATTTGGTATTTTACATTATTATCAGTATTGGATCTTACTATATATTTTGATTGTTCCTAATTTATTTTAAAAAGATCCTAGTACTGTTTCTTAGATGCAACTTCAAGGGTTTCAGGCTCTCGTTCCGGTTTCAAACATTACAAATAAGTAATGATTTTTTTTTTAAATAATACAATATCACAACAGTTTATTAAATAAATTTTAAATGGTATCACTTTTATTAAAACCGGTTTAAATTCCTAGGACTTTTAAAATGATTCCGGTTGATATAAATTTTAAGATATAATTTCCGGGGTTTGTGGGTTCTTAGAATTTCTTCGACCGATTGTCTCGGGTGCCGGTTTCAAATTCTGGTTATTAATATTAAAAATTACCAAAATATCAAGTTTATTGCTAAAATTATATTAGTGTCAAGCAGCTGATATTAAAGAAATTAATTCGATTTTATCGTAACGTTTAAAAAGATCAGGGAATTTACTGTCTATTTTTAATATTCAAATTTTTTTTTCAAGTTCCATAAAAGAAGTGGTTTATGATAATCTCTAATATCTTGCTCACAGGGAAAAAGAAAACGAAAATGTTTAAACATTTTCCACCACTCTATTTTGAGCTTAGTTAAAGATTCTGATATTAGAATGAGGTTCTAAGAATCTGAGGAATAATTTTTTATACAAAAATATATAATGATATAATGACTGTGGCTGATTTATTTTTAGGAAATTTATAATTTTTCGAAAGTAATTTAAGGATTTTTGCAACCCAAAATATCTTATATAAAAAAACACCCTCTTTTTATAGATATCTTCCAGAATAAAGCTATTATAAATGCTTTAAATTATTTTAAATAAGAGTGTGGGTTTGGGGCCGTATGAGGTTTAAACTGGCTATTTCTAAGCCATTTTAAAAATATTTATAGTAAAAAGTTATTATTTAATTATTATAAAAAAAAATTTAAAATTTTGAACCCCGCACAGAGATTAGCATTTTATTACTAATCTACACTGGCGATTATACATTAAAAAGTGTTTACACAACGAAGCCCACCATTGAAAGGCAACGAAACGTAAATGGCATTTTGAGGCATGGAAATGCCTATCAATGATTTCTAACATGAATATGCTCACTATTCCCAGGGTATGGCCCACTCATTCTCAAAATAAGTTTCTGAAAAATTAAAATTTTGAACATAGTTGTAAAGTATATTTAATAAAAATTTAAATCTATTATATAACTAATAAAAAGGAACATTATGAGATATTATTTATTACAAATTGCAAAGTACTTTTAATTTTATTAAAGCTTATTTGTTAAGATTCAGCAAAGCTCAATCTCCCGTACTCTAGTTTGATCCAAGTTACGACGCTTATCTGATTTACTACATGATCCTACTCGATGGATTTACCTGTCAGTAACTTTTATTTGAAGCTTTTATCTCTTAATTACTGTTTTCTCATAAATTTTATCTTAAAATATCATAAATCATTTTTATAATTATATTCATCATAATTTTATAATAAAAAGTATTATCAAAAAATGTATATAGACATTATATTGTTTTAAATCGTAGAACTCAAATTATTTGAAAATAACTGATGCATTTATATTTAATACCTTTTTCTATCATATAATAGTCGTGATTGATTTTTTAGTGACTGATGTAAATGTCATTGTCAATCATAGTAATATCAAGAGATAGTTATGAATTTATTCTATTGTTCACGGAATCAAGTTTATCATCACAAAATTATAGGGATAATTATGATTGGCTATGACATTTAGATTAGTCACTAAAACATCAATCGTGATAATAATAATAAAAGAAACATAATTTCATATTAATTTAAAAATTATACCATATCCCCCCCCCCCCCAATAATACTTCCTATTATATTAGAGCGTAATGTTGACGCTGAGGTGTCCTTCATTAGGTATTCTAATCGAAACATTTCTAATGGGGTGATCGTTAGCTTTTATCTATTTTTTTGGGAAAAAATAAAATACAAGATTTATATAATGTTATAGGTGGCTTTTAGCAAATTCTTAAAATTCAAATCATTCAATAGCGCGCTTTTTTAAAATCCTGAAAGCATCTAATTTGCCGAAATCGTTTTCAAGGTGGCCAGAGTATGATAGTGTTCTATATCCTCCATTTTTGCAAAATACAAGTTTTTTTCCGAAATAAATAATTCAGTACTGTATTATATCTCCATATCATAAATATAAATGTTAAAATAATTTGGAATATTCCCAACAACTTCTGAAAGTAGATTGAAAGGTTTGGATTTTTTGAATATTCATAGGCATTTCACGACAAACAAGGATGAGATAATTGAAAAATTAGCTCAATCCCAACGAAGATTGGATTTTACATTGTAAATATATAAAATACAAAATACAATTATTCCTAAAAAACTTTTTGTGTATTAATTTATATTCCCAACATTTAAATTTTTTACACTATATATAAATTTTAAAGGCTCAAAAATTTTAAATTTATATTTTGGGTCATTAAGTGATTCATATAGTGGTTATATCCACTTTATATTTTATAATTCACATTTATTTTATAGTTTATCATATACAGCCAGTTATATCCGTTTATTATTCTTTAATTCACATTGATTTTATAGTTTTTTATATGCCGGTTTATACATATAATTTTTTTATAATCCACATTAATTTAAAATTGTGTATTAGAAATAGTTATTAGTCCTAATAAATTTATGATTGATATTTTTAAAAAACAATAATATTTTTAAAAAAAATTTATTATCCCCCCCCCCCCCTCAAACAAAATCCTGCGTATGCGCCTGAATTTAACCCGTTCAAAATTATCCTAATTGTAAAAGTTATATCGTTTAAAATCATAGATAGGCTTATAATATCATAATTTACCCTGCATTCACAGTTAGCGCTAATTCGCAGCTAATATACAAAAATGAACGTAAAAATATTATATTTATATCATATTTTGTATAATTCTCCGCGAATTCACTCTAACACGCAGGGTTAAGAAGCAGAAATAAATCATTGCCCTGAAAATCAACCACTATTTTTTAAAAAAATGCTCCTAAATATGTGGAAAATATGAATCTAATAATATCTTCCTAACATATAAAGTGTAGTTTCCTGGTAATAAGAGTCTCCAAAATTCTCCAAATAAACTGCTGTAAGTTGCGTGCTTTCTATTTTCCAAGGTGATAGTCGCGTTTGAGACGGGAAGATTTTGGGAATTTAAAATAAACCCCGAAACACCTTTGTTATCATTTTATTTATTTATGATAAAAATTATGAAAAAATACCTTTAAGTCGTGTCCTGGTTTGACTTATTTAAACTAGGACACACCTTATTTTGGTTTGTACTAAATTTTTGGTGGCCTTGTTATTTTTCGTATTTTTTTCTCCTTTCTTTTGTTTTGTTTTTTTCCTCTTTTTGTTATTTTTCTATTCTTCCCCTTCTTACCTTATAGGCTCTTTAATAGAATCGAAGCCGGTTAAACAGCAGGCTGCTTAGTCATAAGTCGAACCAGGGCAACACCCTTATAACTGTTGAATTATTTTAATAAAGTAATCAATCATCATTATACCCTAATAGTTATATTTTATTTCAGAGACCTGCAGGTCCGGCCGAGCCGTATATTTTAAAACCGAATATTTTAAATCGTCATTATTAGCTATAAAAATTAAGAATTAATGTAATATATTTTTAAAAAAATATCTGGGCCAAAAAAAATATATCTCGGGTCGTGTGCAAATGGTACCTTTGCAGGTCTCTGTTTTATATAAAGAAAAAAATTAATAATATCTATAGTTGTTTTATTATAGGAAGACCAAAGTATTTGAGATAGAAATAACAACGATCCCCATAAAGAGTAAAATAAATACCCTTCAGTATTGATCATATAAGAAATTAACTGTTTGAAATGATCTTATGAATTATTTAGATAGGCTGAGAAACAATCTGAAAATTGTGACTTTGTTGAGATGGTAAACTAAAAAAATTTTAAATAATTTTCTACAAATGCTTTAAAAAAATATGCTTGATAATTTTCTTCAATTATTAAAAACCAATTGCATTATTTATTTACAACCTATCAAAATCTTTTTGAGAGAATTTAATAGTAGGAGAATTTAAAAAAAAAGAAAATTATGTTAAAGAAATAATGAAATCTAATTACTATCACAATTATCTGTACTATCACTCCACCTCTCAACATATTTTATTAACCTTTAAGGGAGGAATACAAAAATTCTATGAGTGATGGCTTATTTTGATCCCAGAAGGTTTGCAAAAGGGTGGAAGGCGGAAAATGCAAACAAGATATTTCGACCGTCAATTCAAATACACCTTTGAATATGTAATTGTAATCCTGCATCCCTCCTAAAAAATAAACATTTATTATATAAAGCGATTTTCAATGAAATCAAATTGTTTCTCAAACAAAAACACTATGACTTATAATGTTAATTTATATTTAATTGAGAAATAAACAAATTATACCTAGCATTTTTTAAAACTCTTTAATGATTTACTAGGACATGACAACACACCAGAGATTTTTAAATTGTTACGTCAAAAAAATAACTTGTTAAAATTTTGTCATGATTTTTTTTTCTTAGCCTCCTATTTTAATCAATATATGTTTCTGCGAGGTATTGTTGTCAAACGGCTCGATTTCACCCATTTTAAACGATTAAATCAAGATTTTAGCTAAAAATGTTTATATTTAAGATTCTCAATATCAATAGATGTACAGACCTTTCTGTCATATGTGAGCAAAATTCCAAACTTGGGTATAATTTGCTCTTAGCTAAAATATTTAGCTATATGATTTTAAAAATCGGCAAAATCGAGCCATTTAACAACACATGCAAAGTTTCATTCATTTTTATTAAATAACTAGAATATTGGTATAATGAATATCATTGGAAAAATATTGATATAAAGAATACCATTGGATGAATATTCCTAAAAAGAATACTATTTGAGAAATATGATTTTTGACGATTATATATGTGTATATTAGTGGCAATGTGTTTTTTCCGAAAATGTGTTATACTTTTAACTATCATTTATTGAGCGCGTTTTTTTTTAAATTTAAGAATCTGATTTTGCCGAAAATGTTTTCCATCATGTTTGGAATACCTACCCTATAAATCTCAAATAATTTTTCCATGAACCTAATATAATTTATGTTAGTTTTTTTTTCTAAGATTTTTTATATAAATTTTAAATGGCTCAAAGGTTAACGGCATTGTCTATAATTCACAGGATAGGTGTTCTAGACATGCTGGAATACATTTCCAGTAAAATGAGATTTTTAAATTTAAAAAAACGTGCTCAAAATGATTTAAAGTTGAAAAAAATAACACATTGTCTGAAAAAACACATTGCCGCTAACGAAGGCAAAAACTTGCATTTTAACCCTTATAAATTTTAAAAAAAATTTATGTTAATATTTATTTTATTTATCAAATAATATTAGTTAACACAAAATTTATATACGAAAAAATAAATTCCAAATTAAATAATATAAAGGCGAAATATAGTGTAAATAATAAGAATAAGGAAGAAAGAGTGAATCTAGAGAAGGTCTGTAGAGAGATGACTGCTATTGAAACTATAATAATTTGCTTAAAGGATAGCCATCAGTCTCTGCCTGAGGAAAAAATCTTCTCGCGGATCGCCAGTATACTTGCGGATGTGAGATCCTAAATCCTTGAAGAAGGATAATGCAAGCTTACCAAAGCATAAGGTAGTGGATATTATTGGGATAACAATGAGATTCACTTATATTTCCGAATATTTGGAAATTTTATGCTGTTCTTTTTGCTCAAGTAGGTTTAGAGTTTGGTTAGCTAAAGCTAATGAATTTATACAAGTATAGTCACAAACCAGAAATTGGCCCCGTTTCCATGAGATCAGGGTGATTCCGTTAGGCCGCTTTTCATAGAATCTAAAAAGGCCAGGTGGTTCAAATATAGTGGGTATTTGGGCGGATTTTAATACTTGCTAGATCAAGGTGCATTAGGTATGCCTGAGGATATGTCCTTTGCACAATCTGCAATGTAAGCTGTGTATTCCTTTGCACTCTCTGGGAGTGGGAAATTCATATTCTGTGGGTTAGTTCATTGTTAGTTAGTTGGAGTTATTTTTGAAAGGAATAACTTTCAAAAATTTATGCCCAGATCCATTAAGTAAAGAAGTTATAAGGTCTGTTGGAAGCATACTAGATAATAGGGATTAAACGCAGCATGCTACAACTGACATGTCCTAATCCTTCTGTCTATTGGAATGGGGTGATGGGACATCATCAACACGCATTATCCATAGCAGGATAGCATCATCTAAGAAAAGTCATTTTATGAGGTGTGGGACGTGATTGTGGGTTTCGTAAATAGACTGCTCGAAATAAAGGCAGTGTGAGCAAGATCTGTGGGAGATCTAATCCCTAAATCACCACTTTTGGTGGGCAATTAAACTTGAGCCCATGCTGTTTCATTGAATTTTAGATTCAAAATATTTTCGGTTAGACTTATTATTCCTTTTCATAAATATTGAGAGGGATAGGGTATTTAAAAATAGGCGAAAATATGGGCTGAATGTTAAAGAAATTTTTAAGGAGGAAGACTGATGCGAGATAGCAGGTCAAGGAGGTCACCAAGCTTGAGAAGGATATCAAGAGTATGGAGGAAGGCACTGATTGCTGTGAATCCGCCTAATGGGGAACCTAGACGTGTTAGCTCCTCCTTGGAGGTAATTTTGAAACTGTGGGGATTTAGATCGGGGGAGTTTACTTGCACAAATTCGAATTTGCTGGGGTTGAGAATGAGACCAACAGCGCATCCCATTTCTATGACAATGTGCACGACCTTATTGGCTTTCAATTAAGGTCCACTAATGATTCCGTTGACTATATACCAGAGATGAGTGGAAGTGAGCAATCTGAATTAATGGTTTGAATTATTATTGATTGCAAGACAAAATAAAAAAAGGATCCTAGTGGATCAACTTGTTGGATGCCTTCAGCAGAATATTTTTTGAGAGTTGAATCAAAGATGGAAATTGGTAACAAGAATAGAGAATGTAATATGGGAATGATGTGCTTGCTTATTGCAAGAATGAGTTACGGGAAAGGGTGTTGTACACATTAGCAAAATCAATTCTGATAAGTGTTTCATTTGTGGAATCGCCCTCCAAATAAAGAGTAGTAAGATGTACAGCGGCCTCACATCCGCCAATGACTCCTATCCCTTATAAAATTTTCGCGTATTCTACATATTTTAAATAAATTTATTGTAAAAAAAATAGGCAATAGAGTAAGCCCTCCATATACTGACCACTAAATGTTATCACCTTTTTGTGAATAAAAAGTATCTAAATGGCCCGAAGTAAAATGGTCATTATAAGGAGATGATCAAAATGAAGAGGTGGTCACATTTTGAAGGTTTTACACTGTATAGTATTTTAAATAAATTTTACTCTATTTTCGACATTCTAAAGAAAATTAGCACAAATTTTTTTATTTTAACAATATATCTCCAACTATTTATGTAATTACACTTAATTTAAGTTTAACTTAATAATTGTCTAAAATATCAAAGATTAAAATAAAAATTTTCAGGCGATATATAACATTTTTTAAATAGGAGGAGGATATCCATCACTTAACCACTTGCGTTATTCCCGGGCCCATCTTACCATAAGATTAATTAGCCTTGCTGAGTCGAAGTCCTGCCATTTAGAAAATATAATGGCAAAAGTCTACCTCGATTTACTTGAACTTGCTAAAATAAAATTCATTATTCGAAATTGATTATTCCTATTTTGATACGCCCCGATCTATTAAAATTTGATACGAATTTCCTCACCGAATTTAGGTGTTAATGTTATCAAATTTACGCGTCTAGGATACATGTTGAAAATTAGTAGCCGATTGGCGTTAAATGACATCTAATGCACTTCGGGTGACTAATTTCAATGAGGTTCCTGACCATTAAAAATATATTTCCTCAAATGAGTTTGGCTGCTATTATTCGAATATGGTAATTAACAACACTGTTGATACCAATGACAATGAGAGATTCCCTACCTAATTTACTGTGTTAATTATATTTTTAAATTTGGCAAAAAAAATAGTCTTTCTTTTTTCTTGATTATATAAATATTTTTTGAATTACAAAGGTAATATATCGTTTTAGGTCACTTATTAAACTCAATAATTTTGTTAGTTATTTTATTGGATTTATTTTTACATTGTGATTAGTCAATCTGACCGGTAAAATACTTTATAAATATCAGAGTTTGAAAACAAATTTTCGAGCAAAAATCTTCCAAGGTTCTTCATTGAAGAACAGAGATTTTTGATAAGATTTTAAAAAATGCCAAAATCAAATAAAAAAATCTATTTGTAATAAAAGATATTTCAAGCTGAAATCAATTTTTTTAAAAAAAACTCTGAAATATAATGTTATTTTTGGATAAATATGCCAATTATATATATCTTTTTTTTTCAAAAAGAAGCTAACATCTAAATTTTTACAAATTTAGTACATTATAATTTTAAAAAATTAAGATTAAATAACATGTACCTGGCCAAATACTAAACGAATATATATACTAATTCTATGAATAATAAATAATGATATCACTATGATGCTCACAATTCTTCGGATATTTTGTTTATCATTCGATTTTTTTAAAATAAAAAAAGTTCCCAATAAAATTTACAACTGAGGTTGTCTGGCTTTTAATATTTCAAACTATAAGAGTAAAATGTTTCAAACGATTTTTTTCTAAAAAAAGTGTAAATATCATAGACGTCATCAAATTTCATCATTTAGACTGAATTCATAGTGGGATCCAATCCGACCCGCTTTAACAGCTGATCGATTTTTAAAAAATCTGCTTATGAGATCAAATTTTCATGTTAATTATATTTTTAATCTTATTCATGATATTATAAGAATTATTGATTTTAATAAAGAAAAGTTTATCTCATTAAAAGATTTTAAAAATCGCTCAGCTGCAAAATCTTGTCGCAAGAGTTAATTTAAAATAAATATTTACTCGTGTAGTAAAATGCCTGCACAAGTCACGCTGGGAACGCCTTCTCTTTTCTTCGAAGAGACCATTGGAATATATATATTAATAATATAATAATTTCCCATTTAAGATCACCAGAAAATATCGAATGTTGATTTGAATTTTATCAAAAGCCCTACTTTCTTTTTTTATTGATTTTTTAATTATCTATTAATGTTTTGACAAAAAAAAATGAAGAAAAGTCTTTGACTTCTTTTCTAATTTAGTGTCGTATTTTTCCTTCGTGTCAAACTTATAAATATTAATGTTGACAAAAATAAAAGTTTTTTGTTCAATATGAACAAAAAATATATTATAAATTGATATATAGTCGACAAAACTAAAAAAATTAATGCAATTTATTACCACAAAATGAAAATTAGTTTAGATGATAGTTCTGCTTTTTTTTAAGATATATACAATTAAAGGTCTATTTATTATTTTATAATGTACATAAATGTTTTTTAAATGTTTAATTTAAGTAATATATATACTTCAATTATAATTTATAGGAGAATAAATAACGAATATTATACTATAAAAATTAAGTCAAAGCAATAAAGTTGGACAAGAATTGATATAGACATGTCTCAAACCCGCTTGCTATGGAGGAATGAAAGAAAAGAATCAGGAAACAAAATGGTACCAACATTTTGTCCGTTACTTAATTATTTTATTTTTAATGTAGGCTAAGCCAATTATATATTATTATTTCATTACTATTAAATACTTTATTTTCGTTAAAAATGGTGATTTGCCGATTATTTTGTGGCAATGATGGAAAAGAATTGGAGCGGCAACATGAAAAGTTTACGAAGGGGGTGAATATAAATTTAGGATAAGGTAAGTAGAAAGAAAACAGTCTAAATCTTCTCCGTTATGAGGAGGAGGAAAATGTCACCCACTGATGGGTGTGGTTACTCAAAAATTTAGGATTGACTTTACAAAGTGTGTTGAAAAAACTAAATTGCCTGGAAAAAGTGGAGAGTGATGGCTAGATTCTTTAAGGGCAAGATATATTCGTCAATGAGCTGACTTTATTGTATTGAATTGAATGATGGGCTACTAAAAAGGAAGAGAAATGGTAATAGAAATGGAAATGCTCAGATGGATGCTAGGCAAATCTGAGAAGGAGCATGTTAGGAATGAAGTCATTAAGGAAATGATGAGGATCGCTCCAATCCAGACGAAGCTGAAGAAAAATAAGTTACGTTCGCTTTATGAAGATGCGAGACGAGTCATAATGGAAAAAAGTAGCGAGACTAGTCTTTGGAGGTAAACGTAGAAGAATACGTTCCATATATAAAATGGATAAAAATTTACCTATTTAAACCTAATGAAGGACATGGTGAATGGCTAGAAAAGCGTGAAGAATTTAACTCGTTTATTATGTGTAAAAAATTTAAGGATTTTGCCGTGCTGTATTCCAGTATAAGTTAAATATCTACCCTATAAATTTTATAAAATTATATAAGAATTGCATAGCCTGATTGCGCACAATTGCCAATAAATGTTTAAAGGGTGTTTGCCTATCAAAGATTGGATAATTAATTAAGTTATATATATACCTCTGACAGGGTACCAATCGACGCCATTGGTGATTCCATCGGTAAAGTTTTTAGAATCATCACATAGATTGTTAAAAATATCTGGGTTATTCAACGAATAAACTTTAGATATATTGCGAAAAATATCGTCATCGGGAGCAGCGAAGTATCCAATATCTTGTTCAATTATTTTTTGATGATTTAGCAAAATGAAATAAGATAAATATGTAAAAATAACAACTTTAATTCTATCAGCATTTTTCGTGTAAAGTGTATTCTAATGGTATTAAAAGCATTATAATGCCTCCTTAATTATTTTATAATTCTAACTCTATTTAGATTTAACTTAGAGCATGGCCATTTTTAAAGCACACATAACGTCATTTGGAAATAACATGTTTTGTGGCTTTATCAATATATGAATATGTTAACGTGGCTGATTTTTTGAAAAAATAATATTTTTTTTAACATTTAAAAAATCTAACGCAAATTGATTTATGACTATTTCAAAATAATAAAAATAAAATATTTTTAACAATATAATATGGTTTTGGAATTTTGTTAATGATCTATAAGGTTGGTATATTTTTTGATGCTGCTGTCAAAGTATACTCTTTATTTTCGATGATAATCGTATGTTTTAAGCAGAGACCTACAGAGATACATTTGCACGGTTTACCCGGATTTGAAAAAAAAAATATCAGCCCGGCCCTATATTTTAAAAAAATTCTGTCAGGGTAAATTTTTTATATCTACAGCCTTGATCTTATAAAAAAAAATTAAAAATTAAAATATATCTATTTGGCATGCATTTTATGGATCATTTTGTAGAGAATATGAAATCCATATATAACTTTTCAAAATATATTTTTGTCGTTAAAATGAGTGATTTTAAACCACCATACTTTCAATTTGACTGGTTTGAATATAGTCTTTTATATAAGATCAGTCATTTGCGCTACCTCCCTGGAAACATACGTAATTGCATAAATTTAAGACAGAGAACAAAAGAGATAAAATGATTAAAATAAATTATTCCCTTAAAAAGTGTTGTATATTTAAAATATTGAGTTTATCTTTGTTTTTTTAATTTTATTGAATATCGCCTAAATGATTAGTCAATAATTGATTTGAATAATATTTTATTATCAATATTTTCTAAGAATCAAAAAATGGAAATAGGAAATATGATAAGTTGAATGTGATTTCTTCTATGATACACAATTTTCAAATATATTTTATTTATTTTTAATTTTTATAGATAATAATGGCGATTTAAAATATTCGGGCCCGGTCCGGGTATTTATTAATTTTAGTTTAGGGCTTAGGGCCAGGCCTAAGGGTCTCTTATTTTAAGTGTCTAATAACCGATACAGTTATTATCATTCTTTCTCAAGTTTTTTTTATATTAGAAAATTTTATTTTGCCATGTGAAGACATAAAGATGATAAATAATAGAACTGCAGGCTCGGTCAAGAATCTATTCGGTTCATAACCTGAGCTGAAATTATTTTAAAATAGAAAAATATGCACACCCTGACTGATTAAAAAAATATATAAATTAGATCAATTATTTAGTTGGAAAATGCTAAAAAATAATCTAGCCGATTGTTTAAGATTCATTTGTTGTTCATATTTTTCCATTTTCTATTTAATTTCTTTCAGAGATCTGCAGGCTCAGCCCTAAACCCGGACCAGTTATACTGGCAAGGCCGTATTTTTTTATATCTAAAATATCCAGAGGAACAAAAAATATGGGAATTATCATCGACCAGTCGAATAAAGTGTAGTGATTCAAACTCACTGGTTTTACGACAAATCCAGAAATAATCTAAATAATTATTATATATAGATTTTATATTTGCTGGAAAATCCGTATCGGGCAAAAAAAATTTGAAAAAATTGTACCTCTGCATTTCTCTGAGAAGATATTTAAAATTATCGGGGAAGATGGTATAAAAATTAAAAAATCTAAGCCGGATTTGAAAATGGGAAATTATCATGATTCCACTCCTGCCTCAAAATTTTGACATTTACAGCTCTCTGGTATAAATCGATAATATTATTTGATAATTAATTATATTTATAGGGAAGGATGGGTTAGGGCAGTATGGTAAAATATTACTAATGAAGGCCTTCTTTCGAAACTTTCCAAACGAAAGAGTATTAATCTTTTATTATGATTACCTTATTAAGGTAAGTAAACTATAAAATTATTTCATATATTAGCCTGGCTATTATAATTTAAAATGAAAAGAGCTGACTCTTTCAAAAAAAAACTAAGACTGTGTTTCTTAATTTTTGTTCTTAACTCTGAGTAGATCCAATATAATCCCTGAAAGCAGAAATATAGATTATGACATTAAGAAAAAAGTTATAACTCTAGAATAAAATAAGTCTAAATGTTTATTTCTTCCTATTTTTTTTTAGTCTAAAAATCACATTCTACTCAGACATATTTAGAATTCTAAAAGGTTAAAAAACATTCGAGGCAGCATAATATCTTTAAAAAAGTTGATTTTTTTAAGCCTATTTTGTTCACAAATTTTAAAAAAAAATTTTAAACAAGTAATCAATATAAAATCTTTATCAATCGTAAACATACCTACATCCTCAGGCTTGTTATCATACGGATAATTGACAACCAACGCGCCTCCATGAAAAGAAAGAGAAGAAACGAAGGGCCATTCATTTAACCAGTTTATTACAGCTAAGGTCTCCGGTTGCATTGGATATGAATTCGATTGAAAATAATCGGGAAAGTTTCTATTTAGATCATAACCGTTTGCGTTTTCCCTTTTTTTTAAATTAGACGATAATTACAATTGATATATATGTCGTAATGGAATTTAAGATCCATGGAGATTCTCAAATTCTCGATTTTAAATCATGTACGATTTTTATATTTTCAAAATTCGATTCAACCGAAAATGGAGTTCAGTATGTGTGGAGCAACTACTCCTATGAATTTCAGACAATTTTACGCCGCAAACTTTTGTGAATTTTTAATTTATATGAAAAATCCACATAAAAATTAAGATATATATATTGAGTGTAGTTCTAAAAGTTTAGGGCAGAATTGTTTGATATTCACAGTGAGTGTGCTCTATACATGCTGTGGTACATATACGGTCAGATTTTTAAAATTTAAAAATTGCCATCAATAAATGATTTAAAATTGAGGTCCCGAATCACCATATATTCCATATGTTACATCTGAATATTTATTATTGTAAAGGTTAAGATATATTTTAAAATGTCACGTTATATATTTTAAAAGGACGTTATTTGTATAATATATTATAACTTTCCGACATGTAATATTATATTATCGAGGTTAATCAAATTGCATATTATTAGAAGTTAAATTGGATAATTATATAAATGTATATATACCAAAAGAATTACAAATAAAATTCATTATCATTTTTTAAATTAATCGATTTAATATTTGGCGACGAGGTAAAAGGTCGCGCGGTTTTCGGTCTTCGGTCAAGTTAAATATTATATAGAATTATAATTTTTTTTTTTGTTAAAAAAAAATAAATAAATAGATTTAGCAATTATGGATAAAAGATGAATGAGATATATGGGCTACTGACGACTATAGACACATAAAATATCCTCAAAATTTTAATTTTCTATTGATAGAGGAGCAATTGATTTCATTAGATTAAGTCGCGGCCCTACTGAATCCGTAATGAGATATATATAAAAAAATATATATATAAAGGAGCTAGCTTGAAGATGCGAATTTGGAGATAACGTAGAACTAAGAATTCGCGATCAGTTAATCGCCGGAGAACTATGTTTACGATACCCAGATACTAAAGAAGAAGACCAACCGTTAAACTTAAACAAAATTATAGAATTTAAGATATAAAGGGCACTATCAAAAGGATAGATGCAGCCTATTTAGATTCCATGGATTATAGAATTTATGATAATAATAAAGAGCACTATCAAAAGGACAGATGCAGCCTATTTAGATTCCATGGATTATAGAATTTATATGATAAAGGGCACAATCAAAATGATTGATGCAGCCTATTTAGATTTCCATGGATTATAGAATTTATAATAATGATATAGGGCACCTCTCAAAATGATTGATGCAGCCTATTTAGATTTCCATGGATTATAGAATTTATGATAATGATAAAGGGCACTATCAAAATGATTGATGCAGCCTATTTAGATTTCCATGGATTATAGAATTTATGATAAAGGCACGATGCAGCCTATTTATGGATTATAGAATTTATGATAATGATAAAGGGCACTATCAAAATAATTGATGCAGCCTATTTAGATTTCCATGGATTATAGAATTTATGATAATGATAAAGGGCACTATCAAAATGATTGATACAGCTTATTTGGATTTCCGTGGATTATAAAATTTGGCACAGCCTATTTAAATTTCCAGGGATTATAGAATTTGACATATCGTTACCAACATATGTAGAAATTAACATGATCAACAATATATTGATAATGGTAACGTCAATATTGACAAACTATATAGAGTAACCTGGAGTACTCCAATGGTAGTGGTACTTAAAACTTCAGGTGAACTAAGATTATGTGGAGAATAATTCTACCAACGAATCGCAAAAATCGCTATAGATCTACAGATAAATGATGATAAAATAACAAGCGAAAATAAAACAGTGATGGTGGGAACAATTGGTCGAAAAACTAGAATCGCCATCACAATCCTGAAAAAGGGGAAAAAAATAAACGTACAAAACCGTATTAAAACATCCCGACCAACTACGAATAAGGGAAGAACCAGACGAAATAAAATCAATAAAAACAATTGACCAAGTCAAAAAGGAAGGCAAACGGGTTATCCAACAAAGGAACAAGCCAATAAAAAAATTAATAGATGAACTTGAACTTGGTAAATAAAAAGATTGGTAGACGATCTTAACTTGGTGGGAAAGAAGATATGTTACATCTGAATATTTATTATTGTAAAGGTTAAGATATATTTTAAAAGGTCACGTTATATATTTTAAAAGGACGTTATTTGTATATTATATTATAACTTTCCGATGTAATATTATATTATCGAGGTTAATCAAATTGCATATTATTAGAAGTTAAATTGGATAATTATATAAATGTATATATACCAAAAGAATTACAAATAAAATTCATTATCGTTTTTTAAACTTTAATCGATTTAATACCATACCCAATGCGACATATATTTTTTTTTAACAGATCTATTTAAAATGCGAAAGTCACATTTAATAAGCTAAAATTTTTTTGTGGCCTCAAAAGATAAAGTAAAAAATATAAGCAACAACTAAATTTAATTTGATAATGCCTAAACTATTCTAATTATTTGGAAAATGTTTTTTTGTCTGTTTGACAACACCCAACTGTTAATCTATTATTTAATTTAGCATAAAATTATATATATAAATATACCTTCCTATGTTATCAATATTTCGAGATCTTAGGAAGCCATCAGGATTTAGAGACGGGAGAAAGTGTAGAATTACTTTAGAAAAAACATCGTCCAAAGCCTTCAATCCGTTAGAATGGAACAGATAATCGATGAATCTCAGTAAAAGTTCTTTTCCAACTGGCTGTAATAATAAATTATGTTTTTGTTATTAATCAATCAAATGAACGAATTCCGATTCTAAAAGATTATGCATATATTATACGAATCAAGGAAGATATACCCCAAAAATTTCATAAAAAAATTATCAAAAATAACTCTCCTCTTCTCTTCTCTCTTCTCTTCTCCTCTTCCCCTACCCTTTCCTCAGCAAAGGTTTTTTTCCATGGAATTATCTTCCGCTTAAAAGATATTTAACAGAGTTGTGTAGCGCGCTACTTAGCGCGCTATCTTTTTTGGTAGCTATAGCTAATAGCCGCTACTTTTTTTAAATTATTTAATTTTATAGCGCGCTACTTTTTTTAAAAGTAGCTAAGTAGCGCGCTACTTCGCTACTTTTAAAAAATATAATGAATGTAAGTATAAACATGAAAATTTAAATATAATATCATAATTAATTATAATTTTTATAATTTATTATTTAATTTTGAAATTTAAATATATTTTCAATTTTTAATTTATATTTTCAATCTGTGTTAATAATCTAAAATGGCATCGTCCATGGATATCCAAATCCTTGAAAGTGATTCAGATATGGAAGATTCAATGGAAGAAAATGTACTTAATAGCTCTAATAACGTTTTTCCATTCCCTAAATTTGAAAAATTTTTTAAAATAAATATTAAACAAAATCTGGATTCAAATTCATGTGCTTAAAATGTAAAAAAAATATATCATCAAATCAATCGAGTAGCTATAATCTGAAGAAACACCTAAAGGTAAATTGTTATTTTTACATTATAATATTATTTATTTTATTAGACTGTTCACGCCAATTGCTATAAGGAAATAGAGAAACATATAAAAAAATTTGGTATAGGAGAATCTTCATTCAAAAAGACATACTATCCAAACCAAATTAACTGATAATAAACATGCCAATATTTCACAAAAATTGGTTGATAAAGTTATTGTTGATTTTATTATTGACACAGTTCAGCCAGTGTCTTTGGTTGATAATCCATCATTTACTCTGATGATTAAAACTTTATCCCCTGGCACAACAGTTTTATGTCGCCAGACACTTATGAATAAAATAGCCGACAACTTCAAAGTGATGAAAGATGCTCTAATAGTAGAGTTATCATATATATCTTATGTATGTACCACGGCAGATAGTTGGACACATAACAGAAGATAAAAACTTATTTATATTTATAAATTGATCTGATTAAATATTTTTAGAGCTTATTTGGGAATCACAGGCCATTGGTTAGACCCTAGGACTTTAAAAAGAAGATCTGTAGCCTTAGCCCTTAAAAGGATTATAGGATGCCAGACATATGACGTACTTGCAAATAAAATTATTGACATCCACAAGTCTTTTAGGATTCATAATAAAGTTTGCAAGATGGTTACTGATAATGGGTCTAACTACCTGAAGGCATTTAGGTTATATCACAAATTTATTTATAATATTTATTTTAAGTTATGATTTTTATCAGAATGGAATGGTTATTATTTAATCTATAAAATTAGTATTTTAATATTTCACATTATTTATAGAATTTTTATTAACTAAATACACACATATTTTAGTAATATTATGATTATCATAATTTATATCAAATTATAAATAAGATAGGCTAATGGCGAAGCTGAATAATCTTACTTCAACAAACAGAGATTGCCGAGTATCTAGCACGAAGACATCCTCAAATAATTTTTTTGAAATTAAAGATGATTTAATAGAAAATCCAATTGATCTTTTTTTTCAATCAAAATATATTGAGATGAATATTTTTGATAATTTTTCATATATTAAAAATTTATATATGAAATTTAATACCCCCTTGCCCTCAAGTGCTAGTGTCGAGAGTTATTTAGTAAAGCAAAGCTTATACTTTCTGATCGTCGCTCTAGACTTGGGGATGATAATATTGAAATGATATTATTATTAAAATGCAACAAATTAAAATAAATATTTATTTATATTGCTTATTTTTTTATAATCTAAACTAACTATTAAATGTTGATTTTTATATATTATTTATTATACATTTACATTATAAGCAAAAAAAAAATAAAAAAAATTTTTTTCATTTGTTTCTAAATTTTTTTTTATAAAAGTAGCTTAAAAGTAGCTAAAGCTACTTTTGAAAAAAAGTAGCTAATAGCGCGCTACTTTTTTTGACAAATAGCGAAAGCGGTAGCGCGCTACTTTTTTTGACAAATAGCTATTACGGTAGCGCGCTACTTTTAGAAATAGCGTTTAACAACTCTGATATTTAAGTTAATTGATTCCTTAAATTATTTTTAAAATGATATTTATATTAATCATAATTTTATTTACCTCATTTCCATGAATATTCGCTACAAACTTTATGTGTCTATAACCTTTACCAAGTGAAGATAGCGGATGATTTTTGGATATAGCCAAAACCCATAATTCTCGACCTATATAAAAAAAGGAATTTTTGGTTAAAAAATGTATAAAATGAAACCAAAAATCTTTAAATAAAGTAGCCATGCGTGCAATAGGAAAATAACAACTGGTGGGTGGTTTAGTCTGAAATATTTTAATGAGACAATGAAATATATTAAAATAAAATAACCAATATAAATAAAGAACGAAACAAAATATTTCGTAAACAGGATAGGGGAGGAATACAACATTTCTGAACCAATTTATGGTGGGTGGAAGATGTCCGAACATGCACTGGTGAGTTTATTTTTTTGAACAATTACAGATTTGTGGGCTAAAATTCGAGATTACAGATCTATATGAGAAAAAGTTTGTTCCAACCTAGTGGAGCTCTGATTTTAACTTGACATATTAAACTATTTCAATTTCCATCTAAAAATAGGAAATTTATTCATAATTTTTACCTTGTACACTTTTGCCAATGGAATATAAATGAGTTTGGTTGGAAAAATTAGCATTAATTTCGTGCAGGTATTTTGTCATGGATTCATAATTGTGATAATTTAAATTTAGACATGACTTATATGTTAAATAAAATATGTTTAAAAACAGTGCTCTGAGGGGTAAATTCATGATTTTGTTTTTTAAAAATTTATAAAAAATTCAAACGAAAAAAACATTAACAAAATGTATTTTAAAAATAACGTAAAAACAAACAAAATATTTAAGGTTTTTCCTGGAACAAAATTTAAAAAAATAAAATTAATTGATTTACCAATGAGTTTGCAATAATAAGTTAAAATTTCAAATTATCAGATATGAAATTTATTATCTTAAAAAGCTTGAATAATATGTTTTATTGATTTTGATTTGAATATATTTAAAATATTTACATATTCATTTATAACTATTTTCTCCTTTTCTTTTCTATATTAAAGCATGCATATGTTACCATAATATTGTAACATAAGTAAAATACATAATATATTAAAATCTAATATATAAATGTATTATATAATGTTCATGAATATACTATTCATCATTATATTAGGAAATATTTATGAAAAAGATAAAAAAAAGAAAATGATACATGAAATCACTCATTTGGAACATAAATAAATTTATTGTAATGCTTTAGGATATTTAAAAGAAAAACTTTTTTATAGATAATAAAAGTGATTATATCTCAAAGTTTTATTAAAGATCTTATCATCTTAGTTTTGGATAAGAATCATGCCTAAATTCCAACTTGAAAATTGAGAAAACAGGATATGTTATACTAAATATTTATTTGTATCTTATGTGTGTTTATTCGTCAATGTCTTATTTCTAACTTTAAATAAAATTTTTTAGAACTATTTTTTTAATAATTACTTTAACGGAAATTCATTCCAACATGTTTAGAATTCCTATTATGAATTCCAGACTATTTTGATGTTAACAAGTCATTTATAATTTATATAAAATAATCTATAGAAAAACGATTATCTATATATATAATCACCGTAATCAAGAAATGAACGTTTTCGTATATCCTTAATGTTAATTTTTATTTTTCTTGTCAACTTTCCTAATCTTCTTAATGTTAATTTTTATTTTTCCTATCAACTTTCCTATCTTCTTAATGTTAAATAAATAGATGGAGACTATATCTCTCTAATGTTAAATTTTAAGAAAATTTTTTGTACATAACGGGATTCGAACCCATGACTTAACGTTTTAAAGGCAAACGATTAAACAGATGTTTAATTATTTTCTTTATTAACTAAGCAAACTTTATTTATTTATTTGAGATTCTTAAGATACAGAATATTTAAAAATGTAGGTAGATATTAAATTGGTATTGTATGTCATTTCCACAAATATTGTTAAGATAAAATTTTTATACTGGCATATTTTGGGGTGGTAATATGAGATTAATGTTTATTTTTCAATTGGCTAAATATAATTTAAATTTATTTGTTAAATCTAATTTATAATAAGTACTTAGGATTAGTGAGGAAGGTTAATTTTCTGGCATGGGAAGATATTGATAAATAGGTATTTTAAACTATTTGCAAAGTTCCCATATTGTGGTTGAAATAAAAAAAATATTTTACTACCATATTTTGCGATGGTGAACGTATATTTTTCATAAAATCTTTATGTAAGGAGTTAATGTTTTACAGCGACATGCTTTTGATTAGGTTATCCAGGCTATTGCCGATACCTCAATTACTACCAAGATCTCCTGGTGGATCAGGTAAGACGACATATCTTTATAATACTCTACTACACTATCTTAAAGGACAACAAAAAAATGTCTTACCCTTTGCTACCACAGGAATATCCTCTATACTTCTAACCTGTGTAGATTGTCCTGGGTTCAATTGCAACGATTTTAATCTTCCATCTCCTGACCCTATCACTCAATCTAATTTATATGACCCAATAATAGAAGCAGATATCGCAATGATAATGTTAGCCAATCTAAATGTTTTACAGCTACATGCGTTTGATCAGGTAATCCAGGCTATTAACGATACCTCAATTACTACCAGCTAATAGATAATGGAAAAGAGAAATACTTTCAATCTCCTTATTTAATGGAATTTACCTCCAAATTTTAGAAAATTCACTGAATGTTCTCAAAAAAAATTTCCCTGTAATAGTTCATGATTTTTTTATTCCCGTCATTCTTGATGGGTTATCAACTAGTAATATATATTATTTTAGGTTCGTTCATGGTAAAATTATCCAAGAATAACACAGAGTAGGTTTTCTTAATATAAGAATTGGTAAAATCAGTTTCTAAATTTAAAAAACGTGCTCAGAATAACACTTAAAATAGAAAAAATAACACATTGACGCTATCATTTATACGTTGATGCATCAAAGACTCAAAAAAATTAATTATAAAAAGTGATTAAATAGAGGTGCATGCTAATGTTGTTAAATGTACCGATTTGGGTGGATTCTTAAAAACGTCTCGACATGATCTCAGACAAATAAAATTATGCGTCTATAGATTTTGCTCATAGATGGCAGAAAGGTTTGGACTTCTATTTGCTAAATCTCGAGGCTTACATAATATTATTTTGCCTAAAATCTTAATCGGGCCGTTTTTAAAAATCGAGCCTTTAACAACACTAGTTCATGCTCTAGAAAATCGAGTGACAGATCAACGAGATTATTTGACAAATGTAACACCCATCATTAAAATCTCTTAAATAATAAATTTTTCCACAAAATATTTTATTAATTGGAAGGTCCCGTCCCTGAAGATTTCCAAAGAGAAAATGTGAGGATGGGGGAAAAATATGGCATTATTGATCAGCCACATCAACTATTAAATATAATGAAAAATATTATTTTAGGTTTCTTATACATATGCTATATCATTAATAATAAGTTTAAATCACATTATATCCTATTTTTTGACAAATTTGTCTTCCGATCCTCAATTCTTCCTTCATAAAACCTTCATTAAGAGAAAAAATATATTCCTTTCCTCCAGAATTCAAATAGAAATAGCATAGAGTATTATTCTTTCATTTTTATTTAGCAATTAATCCTAGCTATAAATAATCTCGTTTTTCTATATGAATTTTATTTATTAAAATTATATTATATTAATATTTTAACAATTATACATCATCAATATTCTTTAAAGAGGTGGGCATGGGCCGTGAAACTACGCATGACCCATCGTGTCACGGTGGGTCACAGCGTGAGAGCGAAAAATTTTTAAATCATTAGGCGTGACTGGGGACGGGCCTTCCTAAAAATTTTCTTGGGCGTGATTGGGCGTGAACATAAATTTTCCGTGAATCATGGAAATTTTAATTTTTAAAATTGTTTTTTTGTAAATATAGAATTTGCAATTTTATAATTACAATATATATTTTCTAATTTAATTTTCTTTTTTAAAAAAGAATAATTTTGAAAATAAAAAATCTCCCACATTTTAAGAACAACCTGTATTATGCTGCTAGTTCTACTTTCTTTTTATGTTTAGGTGTTTTGTCACGAGATTTTTTACTAAATTTTGTTAAACTTTAAAATTGATATGTTCAAATCAAATTTCTCAAGCTTATTTACCATGTGTATATTAATCTTCTTACAAGTTATTGCCAACTATCATTTATAACTTTCCTAATTCTCCTACACTCTATAAAAACCTATTCTAAATGAAACATTTAGAGAATATCTAGATGATTCTGATGAAGCATCAACATAGACCGATGAAAGCTGTGAGGATGAACTTAAAAGATTCATCGCTCATAAGACAAATAACAATGACAATATTTTGAAGTTTTGGAAGCAGGAAAATTTATTTCCTTTTTTGAGAAAATTAACGAGTAACATTTTGTCAGCCCCGTCAAGTTCGGCTTCTAATGAAAAGTTTTTTCTTAAGCCAATCGCTTATTAATAGGAAAGGCGTACACAATTGAAATAAACAACATGGACATTCTTCCTTTTCTAATTCGACTTTTAAATTGTATTTATTTTTTGTTAATATGGATTATGGAATTAGAAAATAAATAGAATAAATTCAAAAAAGTGTAAAATTATGGCAAAAGTTTTGAAAAATTTAAAAACACCGTGAATTTTTGGGCGTGACGGGCGTGAATCAAAATATTGCCTTTCGTGAGTGGGTGGGTGGATTTTAGTGTTAAGCTTGAATGGGCGTGAATTTTTTTTATTGCCACCGTGAGCGGGAACGCCGTGAATAAAAAATTAGTCCCGCGATACCTCTAATTGTTTCTATATATTTTTTTATTATCATATTGTGGCATTTTAAAATAATTTGCCAGTTTTTTTACTCTCTTTGCAAAAGCTGTCATAGAATTTTAAAATAACTATAAAATCTTAAAATAATATATATTAAAATCACTAATTTAGAGTTTATTTAATATATGCAAAATAATAGTTTAATTAACTAAATTAGATTATGCATAAAATATAAAAGATACAAAATACTAATATTTATAAAAGTGCGTACAGATTGGGTTCAGAAAACCCCATTTAGTCTTTCATGTGATTCACTGCTATGATGAATTAAAACTACTAGTTGAAAATGATAATTTTACTCATAAAATCATGAATTAATTTAATTAATGAGAATTTTTATTAATAAAATTTTCATTTCAAATCTTCCATTTTATTGTTTTGACATTTGTACCCTTAGTAATTCTGAAAATTTAAGAAATATGAGAAATGCTATAAAATTCCTATCTATAAAGAACAAAATATTTTATATGGTCACCTTAATATAACGTGCCAATGTATAATCATTAAGTTTTTAATTTCTAGATCTCCATATTGCTTTTAATATAAAATTGTTTACTTTATCAATAATCCCAGTTGTCTTTCCTTATACTTTTATTATAGTTTAAATGTTTTCGAATCGAAAAAAAAAATTTATATAATTTTATGGACAAAGCCACTAAAACTTAATCCTTTTGTATTATATAATAATAATTGAAAAGAAAAAGCTTATATCAATAAATTGAAAATTTTAAGTTTTTTTAAAGAATTTTAAGAAATCTTTTAAAATTTATATAATTTTTCATTGTTTTTTAAAAAATTATATTCTAAGATAATACAATACCGTATAATGTAATATAATAACTAGATAATTTAT